TTCTCAAAGCTATATTAAAATGGTGTAGACAACCTAGTGATCGAGTGAACGATGCACGAATACACCCGACTGCGGCACCCAACGCAAATCCCAATGGGACCGAAAAGTACGCCCCACGAAACTATAGTACGATCCCCGAACCGGACCAGGAAGAACACGGAAGACGAGGTTGTGCATTTCGGTCGACCGTAAAGGCGACGACTGCGAACAACTCGTCTGTTTGTATACAGTTTGCGGAGGGGCTTACAATGCCCTTGGAAATACCTCGAAAGTATTGAGTTATGGAGAAAGGGATCGAAGATGATCGAATATGGGTGGTGGTGCGGTATGTCTTTGTTGACGCCAAAATCCGGAAACTCAAATTTTATAAAAGTAATTAGAAAAGTAAGGAAAAATAGAAGGAAATAGTCACTTTCCTTGGGGGAAACGGTCTTCTCCCTATCAGTACCCCACGGAATGCCACCAAACTGAACCAGTTTTTCTTATATTATTTTTGAATAAACAAATGACACGGACTGATCAGATTAGCGCAATAATAAAACAGCTACTTATCACTGTGTAGGTCCACCAAACGGACCTTGCTTAAATCTTTGGTGTCCCTGGTGATGCACCGAGATATTGACCTCAATCCAATGAAATAATGAACACCTTCAAGTGCTCATGAATTTCAGATGAATGAAGTAAAACACAAAAAAATTCCTGATTGCTTGGCCCTCAAGATTGTTACACTTGTGTAAAATGTGCTTTCAATAGTGGCCTGATTGGACAGCCTCAGTGTTCATTTATTCGGAAATATATTTTCTCTGCTCGAAAGAGGACAGAATATTATCACATCTCGTCTCACTTTGAACACCAAAATAAGAAGCTTGATAGACCGCCTCTGAAAACCTCCCACAGTGTGATGTATCTCAAAGAGCTTCTGCGGAAGAAGCTCTTCTCCTTGCTTTCACATAGCGGAAGGGCTTCCCTACCAAAGTCAGAGGAAAGCAGCCATCATCCGAGGCTATAACCGGGTCGGTGAATCACTGGCACTTCATCTAAGGGAACTGGCTAGAAACATAATTCCAAATTGACTAAGAATAGGCACACGAGCCACACACCCACATCTTTCTGCTTGTAGCAGTTGTCATCAACTCGATCGGGCATGGAGATTTTATTTTCGACGCCTTGAACGTTTGACCAAATCCAAAGATTATATATGATCCGATTAATTGGACACCAGTCGACAACAAATAGCGGTTGTCACACGCCACCTGGTTGCATTGCGTGTCAGGTTTTGACTAGTCAAATACTCGCTTTGTGAACTCACCGAGAAAATGCAACTGCATTGGCCTGAGTAACCGAACAGTATTCGGCTCACCAGTAAATCAGGAATTTTTTTCTCTATTTAAAAAAAATATTGTACAGTAATTTTGTTTGAGATCTTGCCTGGAATTAGACAAGTAACTAATGCTCAGATCATTCGATACTGAAAAAAGGGCAAAGAAGCAGAAAAACCGACAGACCCAGGAGAGAATGGAAACTGGTTCCCCGTAGTTCATCCTGTGTGTATCGTATAACATGTGCGCTTTGTACGAAAAATATCACTCTAGAGATTGCATTTCGTCACCTCACGATTAAGAGGCAGCGATAGCGAGAGAAAGAACTCCAACCAGCAAAATCAATCAATAAACCGTTATCAACTGGTGTCATCTTTTTATTTTTCAAACAATCGTAGACTTCCTTACATTCTGGTAAAATTATGAAACAGTATACAACCTTAACTATCCTTTTATGAAACAATGAAAACGATTACCTAGAGCTGATTGTCCAAAGCCAACCAAAACTCCTAGCATGATGGTTTCACCGAATATCTGTTTGTCAAAACCAGTGTCAACTCCCGTATTTTGTTTGACATTCGCTCCCGATTAAAGTGAAATTTTTATTGCTAACACGAGAGGCGCCTGAAGCCAGAATCTTTTCATAATTTGATTAACAATGCATGGGAATTTGAACGTTGCGTTTCATTCTTCATGTGTTGGGTCATGAGTAAGCAAGCATAAGAAAATAACCATTAACCCAAAAGCGAGCGATCTGTGCTTGAAAGAACCAAGAAGTAATTCTCATACGTATAAAAGATAATTCTTCCAACGTAATGCTCCTTTGTATCTAAGAATCGGAGGTTTGACCTAAATGATGCAGCGAATGTTGGGAAGTAGATTATTTCAACTTCGCTGGCAACGGTTTTTAACTGCTTTCACTTAGAAACCTGATTCAGTGGTATTGGAAAAACGCGATTGTCGTTTTCTATCACACTAAATACATTTCGATACGAAAACATTAGGGGTCCCTATTTGTCGTTGGACAAATTACATAATAACCGGCACCGACAGATAATAAATTTATTCAAAGGAGAGTAGACCACTCTATGAACATGCAAATGCATATTTGCAAAAGAAATTGCCTTTAAATCTTAGACTGATTTTATTTAAAGTCCAACAAGAGTGAGTTGAAACTGCACAAAAAGGGCCGCTTGGTGGGACGATTGTGAATCAGTGAAACTCACATGTGATGAGCAGTTTGGAAAATTCCGTACTGTAATAATCAACCACACACACACTCATGGAAACAAGAGCATATAACGAAGGTCGAGGGTGTGGGGTGGGATGGGATCTCAGGTTCTTGGCACAAAAATACCGTTTCTCAATCTGCAACAAAAAGCTCAAGGTTCCGAGTCTTTGGCTTTCATCTTTTCAGGACAAACCACGCCCCGCCAAGCGTGAGTTGCCTCGAAAATGGGGACAATTGAATCACTGTATTTCCGGAATTGATCATCTTTCTTTACTTTGCGGCTCCCGATGACAAATTCGATCCGTTCGGGAAGCGGACCCAGCCGGTCACCCAGAATGCTTTTCAATGTGTCAACAACCACTGCGTCTGGGTCCACAGTTTCGCAAACAATATCTCCGGTAGTTAATCGTACAAATGCTTTCATACTGTAGTCGGTACTCGAAGACGTAAAGTCTCTCTCACATGTTACGTCGGAATGGTTTGTGATATTCGAGTCCCTAGATAAATAGTTTCCATTGGTTTCACGATCAATTGACCAATCAGAATTCAATGACGTTTGCACTATGTTCTGGAGGGTTAGTTCAATGAAATACGCCATTGCGACGTGCGAGCGCGTGCGGATACACATGCACAGGCACACACGCAAGCACAAACTACGTACGCACGCATGCACACGAATGCTGAACTTCGTCACATGCGCTAACACGTACCAGCGATATGCCTGGACGAGCAGTGACCAGTTGCTCACATGGCGCAGGTCCTGAGTCACGCCCATAATAAGCTTCACAGAGCTAGATAGCGCAACAAACAGAGAGGGTCAGACAGGACTGTGAAAACTTCCCCGGACAGCCTCGGTCACGGACGGTGCCCTCGATGCGGCATAGGGAGTCGAGCTACGTGGGAACAGCGATAGAGACCATACATGTACTTGTGCGGTTTATGTATGTGTGACGTGTTGTGAATGATGATTGATTCCGTCAATCGCGGTATAAGAACAACTAACTGAAGTTTGTGAAATTCTGTATATTTCAAACTAACACCAGGACACGTTCCTTTACTTGACTGAAGGGGTTTACCGTCATTTTTTTCCGAATTTACGTTTAATAACAGAATGGTCCATAGTTAGAGTCGGGGTGACGTTTGTTACGAAAACGTATTGAGTAAGTAAAGCGAAACTATACCATTTTAAGAAAAAATTGTATCAGGTTATTTGTGCCACAAAAAATATAATTTGTGTAATTTCGACAATCATACGCACTTGGGGCTAGGTAATGTGAGGTTCGCTTGTCGAAAGTTTGCTCGTTCTCCCCAGGTTGAATCAAAGCAATGAATGTCTTTCTCAGAAAAACCAATGAAGACTGATCAGCCTTTTACCTTTAGAATCATCTCCAGATTGTACAGTGTTCGGGCGTTCTTTCGGGGCTCTGAGTAGATGGAACTATAAGAGCCTTTCTACAGCTCCTCACAACGTCGTGGAATCGATGCAAAATAGGCTTAAACAATAAGCTTCGGGCTTATCAAGCTTCCATCCACCCCATCCTCAGTTATGGTTGTGAAACCTGGCCGCTAAAAGTACAAGATACTAAGAAGCTCGAAGTTCTTGATCGTAGGTGCCTACGCCGCATCTTGAAAGTAAGTTGGAGAGATCGGATTTCCAGTGATGAGGTTCGACGGCGCTGCTTGAACATTGACACGCTTTCAACAGTGCTATAATGCAGGCGCTTTCAGTGGTTTGGTCATGTGCTCCGAAGTCCCGACACTCAACTGCCGCGACAGGCTGTAGCCACCTCACCTTACCGTGAATGGCGTTGCCTACACGGTGGTCAACTAAAGACATGGAGAAGTACGATCAAGGCAGATTTGGAATTACTGGGCCCCCAATCAGGATATGGAATTCTTAACTGGAACCAGAAATGGGTTTCACACTGCTTCATGCATGGGTGGCCATCATTAGAGACATCCAAGAAACCGACTTATCCTCCCGCAGGAGTTAGTCGATCAAAAGTAAAAGTAAAGTAAGTTCTTTCCGGAGCATGATTTGGTATGTAAGACGAATCAGAATTATCGGGCTTAAGTGAACTATCAGCGATTTGAACCAATACAAAACATGGTGTTTGTGAACGCGCATTGGGATGTTTCATTCCCATGAGCGCACACTGAAAACATTATCCGTCTAACATGTATAGATTGACGGTTTATTATTACCAACGGGAAGGTTTGTTGTTCAACTCCCGGTTCGCTTTGCTGGCGGGTCCCAACAGAAATATAACAGCTTTCCAGTGCACTACGTTCACATATCAGACAGATCAATTTCATGAAAACTGGACAGTTATTAGAACCTCTCTTGCATATTTTAAGATAGAATATAACATAAAATAGTGGCGATACTGCTTCTCTAACCGCTTCTGTGGGTGACTCTCTCCAGATGATTTTCTAGTGACCGAATATACCCAGTGATTGAGTTAGAAAGTACCTAACCTCGTATTTCACGCTTGATCACGCAGCCAGGAAAATGGCAAGCTGCTGAATTACTAAGAAAAGCAGAGGGAGAGTTCATCTGGTCCGACCACAGTTCAGTAAAACAACAGTGCGGCATTTTCCAACGATCGCGATTCAGATGGTTGTTTCGTAATCCGGTGCGCGACTAGTGGACATAGAAATCTGACGTTCGTGACATGTAGTTTCTTCGCTTGTGCAAACGAAGTAGAATTGTTCATTTGGGTTGTAGCTCCCTCCGCAGTGAATAAATGGTTGTATTATTTATTTTCACACACGTCTGTGTGCCAAACGAATAAATTCTTTTTTTCACAGTGATTTGTTTCATCTGCAAACCTCATGGTGTGTTGGTACTTCTCCCACCTTTCACCTCTATATGGGTGATACCAACTCGCACATATTCTGCATTTATTACTAGCGTAAACCGAGTTGCATTCAGCCAAATTCTGTACCACAAGTCGTTTATCGGTTCAGTTCTCAAAATAGAGGAGCGCTTTTTGTAGTGATCCAGACATACGTGACCGCATTCCAAGCACAACAAGCTACAACTGCATGTCATACAATCACCGTTCAAGAAGCTCGGTCAATGGTACGCCGGGCAAACGATACATCTGAGTTAGTACATGTGATGCGTCGGCGCAAACGGTTACGGGATTGGACAACGGTCCTTCAACCAATCATATAGCCTATTACCTTCTACAAAAATGCTCAAATAATATCAATAGACATAAGCATTTACTGCTATCAATTCCTGGTGTATTTCATTGGTGTCTGCAGTTCAGATTGGAACCAATCCAGTTCTGAACAGTACAGTACGGATTCTCGTATTCCGATATTCCATACTTTTCTGACTACCATACTTCTGTTTCCTCGGTCTTCTTGCTCTCTCTAATTTATAAAGGTATCAACTAGGGAGGCACGCTATTGGTGCAACAGTCCATTGCAG